TCACCATCTCACCCTGCCTGTCAATCACCATCTCACCCTGCCTGTCAGTCACCATCTCACCCTGCCTGTCAGTCACCATCTCACCCTGCCTGTCAGTCACCATCTCACCCTGCCTGTCAGTCACCATCTCACCCTGCCTGTCAGTCACCATCTCACCCTGCCTGTCAATCACCATCTCACCCTGCCTGTCAGTCACCATCTCACCCTGCCTGTCAGTCACCATCTCACCCTGCCTGCCTGTCACCATCTCACCCTGCCTGGCACCATCTACATCCCAGTGATGTTCTCTGTAACGGGCGGCTGTCACGTTCTGCCTGGGGATGTACGGAGATGTCGGAGGGTGTGTCCCCCTCAGCATGAGACCCGGGCGCTGGGCGCCTGTGCCCACAGCCCCCCCTTACCTGCTCCAACTTCTTCTCGAGGCGCAGCGCCGCCTTGGCCCCCGTGAAGTCGCTCTCCAGGAGGTCCTGCGTGGCCAGCACTTTCCTCTGGAAATGCAGGAACTCCTCGTACTTGTCCGCCTTGGTCAGGCCCGCCAGGTGGGAGGTGACGTAGCAGTACTCGTCCCTGCCCGCGGGGGAGAGCACGCACTGCCGGCTGGACCGCGCGGCCTTGAGCTTCAGCACCTTCACCTCCGGCCACGTGAGCTCCTCTCTCCTGCGCTGCGGGGGAGAGCCCCCGGCCCCCCCACTCGGCTGCGGGGCGACATCCCCCTCGGAGGGGGGCGGCGCCGGTGCCGGGGGGTGCAGGTAGCGGAACAGCGGCGTGCCCGGGGCCTCGCTGGGGCGCAGCGCCGTGTTGATGGTGAAATGGGCCAGCGCATCCTTCATCGTGGCCACCTTCTTCTCCGACGGCTTCGCCGGGCGTCTCCTCGCCGCGGGCGGGTAGGCATTGGGCCAGTGATGGACGATCTTCTCGGGGGGCCTGTAGAGGTTGTTGGGGTTCAGGTGCCCCGTGGTGTGGAGGGAGATGTCCTGAAGGTAGCCTTTCTCGAGTCTTCGCAGCAGTTTCCTGACGTCCCACAGCGCGTCCACAGCTGAGGCCGCGCGGTGTGTCCACGGCCGGCGGACTGCACAGGGAAGACGGGACCTCATGCCACTCGCTCCCGGGAAAATCGGGCAGCCACGCAGCGGCCCCACGGATGCACCGTGCCCGGAGGAGGAGCGCAGGGACCGAGAGGAAAACATTAAACCCGCTCGTCAGACCAGCTCTGCCCAGAAGCAACGGCCCAGAACCAGGACCCAGGGGTTCTCCCAGGAAGGAGGCCGAGCGACAGCTCCCACGGCCGTCTGACGAGTGAGCCACACACAGGTGCCCCGTGGCAGCAGCTGCAGGTCCGGTCAGAACCGCGGCCTGGAGGGGCTGGGTCTCGGCTCGGGTGGCACCCGGCCATGGGGGGGGGGCCTGGCAGAGTTCTGGAGGCTTTGGGGGAACGGCGCTTCCAGGCTCCCCGGTTGCTGACATCGCCCAGTTCCTGCTGTTGTAGGACCAGCTCGCCCCACGCCCGCTGCGGATGGGGGTGACTGAGCTCTGGGGGAACCCCTTCTCCGGACTCACGGCCCCTCCACCTCAAAGCCAGCGGCCCTTCCCTCACTTCCCACGCCCCTGCTTCCAAGGACAGACACACACACACACACACACACACACACACACACACTGACACACACACACACACACACACATCAAAGCGGTGTCCTCTGCGCGTTGCTGGGAGGTTTTCTGTGTTGGCACCTCACCCGCAGACCCACCCCAAACCCCGGGGCCCCGGAGCTGAGCTGCTGCCCCCGGAAGGTCCTCATTCCCCACTCGGGGCTCAGAGACGCAGGCTTCCCGGGCAACCCACCATCACACACATCCCCGAGCGGCCGAAGCGCTCAGCCCACTCACACTCAGAGTCCGAGTCCTTGGCCATCCTGCTCCCCACTGGCTCCTGGCGGGGCTGCCGTTACCAAGGAGACTGACAAACATTCTGAGTCCCTCCCCCTCCAGGTCCTCTGCTGCCCGGCAACCGGACACGCAGCCCCAGGGACTCTCCCCCTCGGACCCTCCCGCTCTCGGGCCTCTCGCCTTCCTCAGGGAGTACTGGGTCTGCTTGCTTGTTTTAGCTTCAAAAGAAAACTCTTTTTATAATTTGAGAAAACATCCAAATACCCTGGCACTTTCTTTTTTTTTATTGTTTTATTGCTTAAAGTATTACAAAGGGTATTACATATGTGTCCTTTTTTTTTTTCCCACCCTTGACAATATATTTTTGTTGATTTCTGAGAGGAAGGGAGAGGGAGAGACAGAAACATCAGTGAGGGGAGAGAATCATGGATCGGCTGCCTCCCGCACGCCCCCCACTGAGGATGGAGCCCACAAACTCCCGGCAAGGGGGCGGGGCAGAGGAAGCCCTGCTCTTCCTGGGCTGCCCGCATCTGGGAGGAAAGCTCAGCATCTCCAGTTTCCTCTTTGAAAACTAACCTACCCGTTCCCCCCGCAGAGGGCGCTGGAGGGCAGCCCGCGGGATCCGTGTGGGAGCCCAGCAGCCACAGGCTGGCTCAGGCCCAGGGAGGGGGGACTGTCCCCCAGGCCAGGCGCGCTGGGGAGGCTGCGGTACCTGCATCTTCTTGTATTTTTGTGGGCGCAGGTGGGACTCTGTCCGTGGAAGCGCTTACAGGCCGAGGGGGGGGGGGCGCCCCACGGCTCACAGGGCTCCGTGGAGGTGGTCTCAGGGGACAGGTACCTAAAGCGCCCTTCCTCTCTGGTGCTGATGCGTGAGGGCCCAGCCACAGCACGAAGTTGACAGGAAAATGCCCGGTTGCCCCAGTTGCATCGGGGCTAAGTCTCCAACATCCTGTTCATGAAAAGCAAAGGGGCCCCCAGGGTTTCCTGGGACGCACGGCTGGAGACGAGCCTCTGCTCCCAGCTGCCCGGTGCCGGTGAGTCTCCCAGGCGGTGGCTGTGCCCGCTTCCCCCTGCCCGGCGGCAGGTGCCGGTGTGGGCGGAGGGCAGGCTCCCGGGTGGGAGGTGCGGCCCCGGGCAGTGACCGGCCCGGGCACTGGGTCACGGCCAGAGTCCAGCCTGTGCTGCCCCCGCTCCGCTCCCGGCAGAGAATGGGTTCGGCTCCTTTCACGTGACACTGCGGAGTCTTTGCTGAGATCAGGAAGAATTTATTTGTTCCCAACACCTGTGCCTCCCGAGTCGGCCCTCGAAGTGGGGCACATAGGCTGTTCAATTACCGCCCCCCCGACACACACACACACACACTCAAGGTGAGAAGTCGGACCACGTGGGTGTCGAGCCTGACACCCGCCCTGTGCTCTCCCGGCTAAGGTTCCCACGCTGGGTCTGGGGTGGGAGCACGCTGACCCGCTGAGCTGCGAGGGCACAGATGGACGCCCCGGACGGACGGGGCGAAGAAGACGTGAAAATAGCTGCGGGACCTGCTGATCACAAGACCAGGGTCCCAGCCACTGAATTCCCTGTCCTCAGGTCCCTTCCCTCCGCCCTCCCCTGTGCTCGACAAGACACCACCAGCGCTGCTGCGGGTCACTCTGCTGAGGGTCAGGCCGCACGATGGCCCCAGCTGTGAGAGGGTCAGCAGAGGAGACCGAGGAGCCCTCTCGGATGTGAGCAGAGACGCGGGCAAGCCGCCGAGGAGGGGGCAGTGGGGAGACAGGCCTGTCCTTGCGGAACACCACACCCACCAGACGTCTCCGGGGTCTCCCCTGCCAGGCACTCCGTCACCCACTGGGAGCAGGCGAGCGCTGGGCGTGCAGACCGGGGCACAGAAGCGAGGGGTGAGTGAGGGCCCCGTGCTGCCGGGTGACCTCTGCCCTCCGCCCTCGGCCATGTCCCCTGAGCCAGTCCGTGCGTCTCTGGGCTGCTCAGAGGCAGGGTGACCCCATTTGTCCCCCAGCCACGTGTGCCGCCTCTGAAGCTGCCTCCCATGTCACACCCGTGAGTTCCCATTGGGCGCTGGTTCTCTGGCCCAGGCTGACCCCATAGGGCTGTCACCCCCCAGACAGAGGTGTGGGCCCGGCCACCTGGTCGCCGTGACGGACTGGGTTTGGGACTCAACTGTGAGATGCGCCCCCTCCAAGCTCTGCGAGAAAGTGGGGACCAGGAGCCCCCTGATCAGATTCCACAAAACTGATGTGGGCAAACCCCCCTACTTCCTCCCCGGTCCCCACACCCCTAGTCCTGAGGCAGGACAGTCTGAGGACACCTGGCTTCAGCTGGAAACCAGCCGATCGATCCCCGGAGGCTGTTCTCTCAAGAGCTCGTTCATCTGGATTCCAAGTCTCACTTGGAGAGGGAAAGGCGGGGTGCTTTCGCTTTCTCCCCTCCGAGTCCCACAGGACTGTCTCCGGCAGGAACGGACCCCGAGGGATGCCTCAGTGGGGGGGGGGCGGGGTGTCCACCTTAGTCCCCACGCCCTTTGCAAAGGCAGTGAAGTCAGTGCAGCGCAGGCCTGCGGTGCGGGCGCCCGGGGGCGGGGGGGGGGGGGTCCCCTATACTCGCTGCCTAACTCCTCCCACCCAGTCAGGCAGCAGCACCGGGTTCCTGGGATCCTTAGAGGATGGAGTTGATCCACGTGGCCGAGCGCCTGGCACAGGTAAGTGCTGGCTGTCTGGGCCTGGCCTGGGGCCCACGCAGGAGGGAGCCTGACCCCCTGGGAGCAGCAGACCCTCCAGCAGGGAGGGCGTCTGGGTTCCCAGTGAGGAGCCCACTGGGCAGGACGCGGAGAGCGAGGTACAGAGCACAGCCTGGCCGTTCACGGAGGACGCGGGCCTCCTGCGGCTGAGCCTGGGGAGCGGGGATCCCCGAGTGTCCGCCCGTGAACTGCCATTTACTCTGCAGCACGGTGGGGCCCCACAGGCAGCCTCGGGAAGACCCTGGGGCCTGTCCAGCCCGCGTCAGGCGGATGGAGAAGTCCCACGGGCACCAATCACCCAGGGGTCCAGCTCAGACCAGCCAGCCAGGCCAGCCTGCCCGGGCACCACGGTGTCTACGGACACAGCAGCGCGTGACATTATCTTAACACCGTCACCGTCTCAGGCAGTTTCTCAGGAAGTGAGTATTGAACCCAAACCCGCGCCCAGTGCTTCGCGCACAGGGCCACGGCGGGAGGAGGTGGCCGAGCGTCTGCTTCGAGCGCTGCGGCCGGGTGTGTCCCGAGGCGTGGACACTGTCACCACGTGATGGGCCCTCACCCAGGGAAGGCAGGTTCTCTTCACTCCCAGGCTCAGCTCCGGTTTGCTCCTGGCTACCAGGATGGGAGCCGCTGGACTGGACTGTGGCCTAATACTGCTCACGTGCTGCCCGCCTCGGTGAGCGAGTACCCACTAGACACACCCGTCAGCACAGCTCCCCGGGGGAAGCCGTGAGGGCACACAGGGAGGTGAGTCTGGAACCTTCTCCACCACAGCAGGACCCCAGCTAACACACGCACACCCACGCCCCGGGGACTCCTTCCCACCAGCCGAGCCGGGAGAGGGCAACCGTCACTGCACCCCACACGGGAGGGAGGCTGTTCGGGAGCCTGGGCTGGTGCTCGAGGTCAGCTCTGTGGCCTGAGCCGTCCTCCCGCAAACAGTGCCAATCCGCCACACCGCACAACCCGCCACACCACACAACCCGCCACCGCGCAACCCGCCACCACAACTGGCCGAAGCAACATCAGCGTCACCTGCCCCAACTCAACGTCTCCTAGCAACAAGGCCTGGAGAGCCTGAGGCCGAACCACTACACTTCCCCACGTACATCCTCCACGCACGTCCCCCACGTGCCTCTCCACGCACCCACGTGAGGCCGTTGACCTTCCCCACAAATGACAGCACAGGATAGCGGAGGTGTTTAAAAACTGTATTCAATTATTCACACGGAAGGGTATCCATTAAAAGTATGAACAGCTCTGAATATAGTTCATGTATCATACATATATATACTTCATATGTATAGTGACCTATCGACAGAACTTCTCGCTGCTCCCAAGCATGTGCTGTGGAACGAAGGTGGGTTCTGCACGTGGCACCCACACACATGTGCGCGTGCCGGCGGCTGGGATGCCGAGTTTATGTACAACTCGCCTCGGGTTATAATACACGGCTGCTGTTCATCGCACAAACGTGACAGGAGCGGGTTCTCTTAAATACAAAGACTGCAGGTGAGCACGTGAAGAAGGCGCACACGTGGACAGCACGTGTCATTACAAATGCAGAGGCCAGGCCTCATCAGGTTATTGCACTTGAGCATTTTACAAAGATTCCGTGACACGTACAAAATGATGTTTGGAAATTTACTCAACTACAAGCAGTTGGATCTAGTTCATCTGAAATTCCTTCTCCTTCTAAAGACAGCCCGTCGGCCTCGGTACAGATCCACGGTGGGAGACGGGCGTGGGGCACGCGGGGTTGCACTCCATGGTGTGGTCAGCCCAGACTCTCAGCGAGGTGGGGACCTAGGACTTGTAAGCAAAGTCACCTTTCCTTTTCAGAAAGATCCAAAATGCTGCATTTCTTCGAATGGTGGCCACTGTTCACAGTGTTTGGGGAGCGCGTTCTCGGAAACGGGTCGGGGCCTTGTGCAGCAACGCCTCCAAAAACGTGCTCGCAGAACACACACCGAGCCGCGGGTCACGTGGGAAGTGATATCCCACGCGCCGCCCAGGCAGGCTATCTGAGAGGTGGCAGAGGACTGCCGTGCCCGTCACACACGGCACTGTGGGCGGGCTGGAGTCCTGGAGAACACACCCTTACAACTTGACAATAGCAATCAAAACCGTCCACTTCAACTTCTGCACACACACAGCCCTTCACAAACATCAGCTGAAAACTGACTTCTCTGCTCTGCCGCCTGGACCCGGCCGAGTCTCTGCCGAGTGCCTGGGGCCTGACCTGTGTCGGGGGAGCGGCCGGCCTGCGCTGG